GCGCATCCACGACCCCGCACCACCCGGGGCTCGAACCCAGGACCTACTGGCTTCGCGCGCGAGCACTTAACCATTAGACCACTGAGCCGGCATCCAACGGTGTTAATGTCTAACTTCAACCAATCCACGAAGTTGCGCTACCGTACACCATTGTCCTCAGTGAGTTCCTATCTCACAACAGACCTGGTTGAACTCCACTGGTAACGACTTCTCACTAGAACTCCAGAAGTGTCTCCTGAAGTCAGTCACTAGTGAGCAGGTGATTATTATTATCAGAATGGGTTTTGTGGAGATTTTAGAAATTTCACAAGTTGAAATCATGAGTCAGTTGAAGCTAGACATTAACACCGTTGGATGCCGGCTCAGTGGTCTAATGGTTAAGTGCTCGCGCGCGAAGCCAGTAGGTCCTGGGTTCGAGCCCCGGGTGGTGCGGGGTCGTGGATGCGCACTGCTGAGGAGTCCCATACTAGGACGAAACGGCCGTCCAGTGCTTCCAGGTTTTCAATGGTGGTCTAGCTTCAACTGACTCATGATTTCAACTTGTGAAATTTCTAAAATCTCCACAAAACCCATTCTGATAAAGATAATTATATTTGACTAAGAAGGGTTGTATGTACTTTAGTTAAACCAGGTCACTTAATAGTTCAGATTGCTATCGATTAATTGCCCATGAGGTTCGCCAAAGTAAGAAAAACGGTTAAAAATACTTTTATGCACACTTAGTTGTGGCTTCTTAATCAGAATGGCTATCACCTTTGTTTTTAAATGACAACCTTTCTTAGTCAAATATAATTGTAAGAAAGATTGGTTCAGCGAAGAGTTCTCATTTCAGTGAATTTATTTTCATAGCTGTCTAATCGCAATTAAATACTGGTTTTTCAAGTTTATAATAATTACAATAGTAGCGATGTTAAAATTCTGTTAAACATGGTAACAGTGAGGTAGAATAAAAAAATGGGCTGAAACGCTATTGTTATCAGGGAAACTGAAAATACACTTGGCATTGTTTGCTTGTATCTTCCCATTGTTGTGTTAGGACTGCAATTGATCAGTCTATTGTTGGCATATGTGCATCCTGTGCGGGCTGCCTCGATATTACAAGTCATCCAGCTGGCGAGTTCCGAACAGGACGAAATGCGCGTCCTGGATTCCACTGCTAGCCACCATCCATCTTTGCTTATGAGACTGAAAATAGTTTTATTGTTGAGGGCTTGAATGCTCATCAAGAACATAGATAGGGAAATCATAATTGGGAAAGGAAGGCTCAGCATGATAAGATGAAATGCTGAAATTGAGATGAAATATAATACAATATAACGGTATAATATAATAATATAATTCTCTTCTTACTATTACTGTTGTTATTATTGGTTTACTATCACCATTAATTTATTGAACACATGATCAATCTACTTAGCACCATTTCATCTAAAGTATAAACCTATTCAAATTAACATTGCATATTATTCATATCAACATGAACAATTTTATTTTATTTCACAACCCTAAATTCGTATGTTACAATTTTAAACGATGTACTATGCTGGCCACTTTTTGGATTACAAAGAAAATTTATTCAAAAGAATACTCTTCATTTTAAAGGTAGAGGTGTTATAAATTTATTTTGAATGCAGAAATGAAGGTGTTTAGCTCGAATTCTTGTAGCTCCTGCTAACAAAACTTCTAGGGAATACAACTTTTTGTCATGCTACTCTTCACAAGTAAACGTGCCTGATGAATGGAAATTGGTAAATGGACCTAAGAGTTGTTTATTCTTGGAATACATTTTCCTGATGTCAGTACGTGATAAATACGAACATCAAAAAGTCATATAACCCTTTATTTTCATCCGTTAGCTTACTTGTGTGTAAAGCGTAACTAATTTAACAGAGATCTAAAAGGTAGTTTACCGAAATTCAGCCCAAGGTATGCTTATTAGTTTTTAAAAGTTTCCTATTTTATAAAATTAGCGTTGATCGGATTTCGGATGTTGGTCATAAAAGTGCTTGTCTCCTTTCCATTTCCATTTATTTGTCAGTACGCATATCTTTTCAGTATTTCATAATACTCTTCAACTATGTAGTTTACGACGAAATGTGTGTCATTAGTTTCATGGTCATAAATTTGCGTTTAATGTTTTGTACGCATGCAGAGTTGATACAATGACCAAAATTAATGTTGACATCTAGCATAAAATGGTCGTGTTTCAAGATATTCAGTTATATACTTCTTAAACTGAACGGATAAGGCAGTACATATGCGTTTTTAATTCGACAAGTAGCATTTGGGCTAGAATTACTTATCTTCACTTTAATAAGTAGATTTATTAACTCATCTGTTATTGACATTTTGGCAGAAAACTTAATAAAATATACCGTTATCAGATTTTATAAATTAAATCAGATTTTCGTTGGAATTCATCGTGTTCTAAAATGACTGACTGAAATAAGTTCATCAAATTATTGCTAAATGAAGGTATATTCGATCAACTAGTGGTGATTTAGCGATGAAACATTTTGCTTGTAGTCATACTCAAAGTTTACCTTTGATACTATTTCCATATTATGAATTATTAAATCAAATAGAATATATTTAATGTTGTAAAATAGTATATCTAGATCACAACTCATTTAAATGGCAGCGTTCTGAAACTTAATAGCGGGTTGTGTGTGGTATCACTCTGTTTAACACGAAATTATTATGTACCATTCTTAAGTTTCTAATGAATAGAAATGAAACAAATATGAATATTTTGTGTCGAAAAAGTCCTGGTTAATTTTAGGTTCGTGATGTAGATGTGAGAAGCATTAGAGCCGACAAGAAGAAGGAAATATGAAACAGCTTTACGATACAACGAAGAAACTATCAGGGAAATACAGTAAACCAGAGAGACCGGTCAAAGACAAAGGAGGCAAGACAATCACTGAAATTCAACAACAGCGGAACAAATGGGTAGAATACTTCGAGGAACTCCTGAATCCACCGGACATCGAAGCGGCACAGACAGATCTTCCCATAGACGTCAACCCACCAACGAAGGAAGAAATCAGAATGGCCGTCAGACAAACCAAGAACGGGAAAGCAGCGGGTCCGGACAACATACCAGCTGAAGCACTGAAGTCAGACATCGAAGCAACTACAAATATGCTTTACCTTCGATTCAAGAAGATTTGGGAGGAGGAACAAGTGCCGATGCACTGGAAAGAAGGACACCTCGTCAAGATTCCAAAGAAAGGAGATCTGAGCAAATGTGAAAACTATAGAGGCATTACACTGCTGTCAATACCAGGGAAGACCTTCAACAGAGTGTTGCTGAACCGGATGAAAGATGCAGTAGACGCCCAACTTCGAGATCAACAAGCTGGATTCCGTAAGGATCGGTCGTGCACAGACCAAATTGCAACACTACGGATCATCGTCGAACAATCAGTTGAGTGGAACTCATCACTATACATCAACTTCATTGATTATGAAAAGGCATTCGACGGTGTGGATAAGAGGACGTTATGGAAACTTCTTCGACACTACGGAGTTCCTGAGAAGATTGTCAATATTATCCAGAACTCATACGACGGACTACAGTGCAAAGTCGTGCATGGAGGACAGCTGACAGATGCATTCCAAGTAAGCACCGGAGTCAGACAAGGCTGTTTACTCTCTCCCTTCCTCTTTCTTCTGGTGGTCGACTGGATTATGAAGACCTCGACATCTGAAGGAAGACACAGAATACAATGGACAGCTCAGAATCAGTTAGACGATTTGGACTTTGCAGATGACCTAGCCCTCCTATCACGTACACACGAGCAGATGCAGATGAAGACAGCCAGTGTAGCAGCAGTCTTTGCATCAGTAGGCCTCAGCATACACAAAGGGAAAAGCAAAGTCCTCAAATTCAAAGCGGAGAACAGCAGTTCAATCACTCTTGATGGCAAAACTCTGGAAGATGTAGAATCCTTCACATATTTGGGAAGCACCGTCGATGAACAAGGAGGCTCAGATGCAAACGTAAAGGCAAGGATTGGCAAAGCAAGGACAGCATTCCTACAGTTAAAGAACATATGGAACTCAAAACAACTTTCAACCAATATAAAAGTGAGAATCTTCAATACCAACGTCAAGGCAGTTCTACTGTATGGAGCTGAAACTTGGAGAACTACAACAACCACAATCAAGAAAGTACAAGTATTTATAAATAGCTGTCTACGCAAGATACTCAACATCCACTGGCCGGATACCATCAGCAACAGCCTTTTGTGGGAGAGAACAAATCAACTTCCAGCTGAAGAAGAAATTAGGAAAAGACGATGGAAATGGATAGGACATACATTACGCAAATCATCAAACTGCATCACGAGGCAAGCGCTAACTTGGAATCCTGAAGGGAAACGGAAAAGACGAAGGCCCAAGAACACATTGCCTCGGATACTAGAAGCAGATATGAAAAGGATGAATAGGAACTGGAAGGAGCTGAAAGGGATTGCCCAGGACAGGGTTGGATGGAGAATGCTGGTGAGCGGCCTATGCTCCTTCACGAGGAGTTACAGGCGTAAGTAATGTAGAGGTGGATTATCAAAGGACAATAATCGTGGAAATTTTCGGAAATCTGTTTAAATATAAATACTGTTGTTTCAAGGTTGTAAGCATATGAAAATAAGTCGCAGAATAAATGAATTCATAGTATTCTGCTGCGATGGCTGTCTTTGAATTTAAGGTGTATGACGAAGTGTAGCCTCATGGAATTACACAAACTGCTTGGAAATGCTTTAAGTTTAGGAAAATACCATCAGATATAGGCTTCCGAGAGTTTTGTATACTCTCCACTTGGCTTTTTGATTGATTTTTCTCGGTAATTGAAACTAATTTTTACCTAAAGAAACATCATTAAATTATGTATTTATCACATCAGTTTGCAACTATGTAAGATATTTCACCTTTTCATTTTGACAGGAGTACTTACCGAGGATGAAGCAAGAATTATTAGAAGTGTACAATCTGTTCATATGCAACCGTTTGTTCCTGTTGTATGGGCGACTTCTCTTATCACTTTAGCTAGAAAAGAAGGACTAATCAAAAATCCGCATGCATACGTTCTTTTGGTAGATGTAAGTTGTTTTTCAGCAACCCTAATGATTTAAGAATTGACAGCTTGAAAGGATTTTATTAAAAATGACAAACATAAATGTTTGAAAAGAATAACTCATAAGTATTTCTGAGTCATGTGATAAGATGAAAAAAATTTCAGATACTCAGACTTTTTGTCATAGGAAGTCTTAAGTTTTGAATTCAGATATTCTTGAAGCAGCCTCAGTATTAGACCAAATATATACCTTTGTGGCTGACTGTTTACCTTACAGTATTTAGATTGTGTATGTCAGAAGTACTTCTTAATGGTATGTATTCATCTGGATGTAATATATACGCCGACTGGTGATTAGCAGTAAAGCGGGATACCAAGTTATTGACAAAACTTCAATCCGAAGTGAAACGTTCAAACTCATATGCTATTGATCAATCAATAAGTTAGTTGTTAGTTTCATATTGGAAAAGTAATTAAAATTTAGAAGCTTTTTGAGTGCTTGAATGCATTATTGTCATAGTGAGTGCATGTGTTTTGCTAGCCTACGTCAGAAATGCAATTGATTATTGTCGCTAATAAATATTTTGAAATAGTTTGTCAAATAACTGCTGGCATTAGAACTGTGCTTTTTTGCCATAGTGTAATGTGTGTAGTTTGATGTATTTTAACAAATGATTATTCATCATATTGAGAAACTAGGTGTCTTAAAAATGCAGTATTGATTTAAGCTTATGCAAAAAACTTAATGTTGTGACAAAGATACAATCATGCAGTTGAGATAATAAATTAAAATTCCATTTTCACTTCGTTACGAATATTTGCAATTCTAGTCCTCTATGTGTGACTGAATTCAAATGCTTTATCTTTTGATGTGTACGATTTAATAAACAATGAATATCTCACTTGACGATCCGGTGACTTTTAACATCAGGTCTACGATCAATTTTAAACAGTAATAAGACGACGGAACTACTATAGCTGAACGATATTCTTTATATTTGATAAAAAATTTGTTTCATAGACTTTTGATTGTAGTTTCTTTCCATTTTAATTTCTCGTATTGTCTATAGCTGAAATTCCTAATTTACCACTTTCTTACAGGAACTTAACACTTTCCGTCAAAAAATATTATATATAATGATGATGGATGATGTTTGTATTCCGTTGGTTTATACACAGGTTAGTAATAGTGTCATTTTATTCCTTTGTCTGTTCAGTCGATCGATAAAGTTTCCTACTATAGTTGAAAATCGAAGTACTTGTTTTCTGTGCACAAATGTTAGTTTGCTTCTAGCGAATTAAACATTTTCTCGCTAGGCTATAAACGAAATGAACCCATCACCTTTTTCAGGCCTAGAAAATTTATATTCACAACCATCACTTCACCTAATGCAAAGAAAACTAGATAACCACGTTTATTCAGAAATAATTCTTTCAAAATATTTACCGACGAAGGTTTAACCAATAACTTATTTTTCAGTTGCGTTTATATCATCCGTAAGATTAAACTGTAATTGAGCGTCATTACTGTTAACAAACAGTGTTCTTAATCAAAACAAAGAATTTTATAACGTCATTCAATACCTATATATTTAAAACCATTTGTGTATAATGTTATGAGAGTTCCTTCTTATGCAAACAATCGGGACAAAGCATATTTTTCGCCTCCATTATATATAATTTTCTGTTAATACCACCATTTAGATACTTAATACATCCAAAAATCAAATTTTACTGAAGACTGTCACGAAAGTTAAAACTGACGTGTAACACATGTGACATTCACAGCGAAACAGACGTTCTGCAGTTTATTTTAATTTTTTCTGGAATCTTTTGTCTAGTCAGACAACCTCATTTCTTTGATTAATAGCGTGGGGCGATCAGTTTCGATTAATTGCACGTGTGGAGGAATTATTGCCAATTTTACCTGTAATAAACGAAGAGGTCTTTTTTAAAGTTCATGGATGAAGTTTATGTTTGTCTGAATTAACAAGATATCGTACACAAGTATATTACACAAGACATATAGGGTTTGTTGATTGGATCTATTTTTTTCCCATAATTATTTAGGTTGTCACACTATCTGTGTACTCTTATTTTGTCGCGTCTCTTATAAGTAGTCAATTCATCATCAACAGTTCACCTTTTGCAGGCATAGCACGTTCGCATGATCTTTTCTTCCCGTTTTTCACATTTCTGGAACTTTTTGTTTATGTGGGATGGCTAAAAGTGAGTTAAAAGTAATATAAAATGTCAAATCTACTGTAATTTACCTTTTGCTGTTTTTCCACGGATAAAATAGGTACTATAGTCCAACTGGCCATCATTAATTTGTCTACGATAAAAAAATTCAACAAATCTTAAAAATAATTGAAATTTCAAGCCTGTAGTTAACCACAACGTTTTTACTGTTCGACAAGTGTGATATACTAAGCACTTTCGGTCATTTTTCTGTTCATTTATTAAGTGCTGTTTACCATAGTGTAATTCTTACTAAATATTTCATTACAAACCCTCATTTTCATTAAATTTGTATTGTTTAGCCGGCGATTTGTATTATGCTTACAAGTTTACCTCAGATAGTCGAGGACATCTTCCACCGTTTAAAATGACATATAGAATACAGGACTAATCCACTAAATAAACTGCAAAACTCCCGAAATGGTTGGATTCAGCATGTATATTGTACGTTGAATGCATCGCTTATAATCTCATCGAATATCAGTGTTAATAGTAGTTTAAATGAATCACATTGTAATCAACTTTTATTCTGAATTAATAACAAAGTTAAAATATTTGTGCTTCGATTCCAATACCTATTGTTTTACCTTTCTTACTCAGGTTGCTGAAACACTTGTGAATCCGATGGGAGAAGATGATGAGGATATTGATATTAATGAGATAATCGACTTCAATTGGAGAGTGAGTCACTGCTTTTCGGTTGGTTATTTTTAGTCAGTCTAGTCTAGTATATCATAAAAATTTTGATCACTAGCGTAATGAAAATATGATGAAATAAGGAAAAATAATTTTTAAGAAGTACTGATTACAGATAAAATTCTATATTTCAAAGTAGCCGCAAAAATGTAAAATACTCAAAGGTACTATGTGCTACATAAATAGAATTCGCACGTTAATTAGGTCTATCTTTTACGACCATATTTCAGTGATTCGAAGGTTTTGTATCACAGACAAATTTTAATAAATAATAATAGTTTGATTTCAAAAGCTAAACGCATAATCCCATTTTATGAAGTAACTTTCAAATGTTCAAGTTAGATTTGTCAGTAATAATAATGTATTGTAAGTTAATTAAGATAAAGTATATAATTATTTCTAATCCAATGAATCACTTTTTCATAAATGATGGCAGCTATACAATAATTAATACTAGAACGCAATAGAATTGCCCATTACTAATATGTATATCTATTTATTCATAAATTTCAACATGTTTCAATAAATAACCTACATATTGAATTATAACAAGAACTTTCTAATTGATGTACAAACTCTCATTCTGCTGATCGTAAAGAATTCTGTCTCTTTCGCAGTAGTGAACTGATATTAGTTTTAGGAATTAGTATGCTAAAACACAGCAAATTAATAAACGTTTAATCTAAATGGATAAAAAATACATTAAAAAGTTTGTCACAGATGTCATTAATTTCATTTATCGATACAGTTCTAAAATTTAGAAAGCAATGAAGAAGGACCGGCGTATTAAACATAAACAGATGATAATTTAAGCTACTGATAATTCGTTTTATCTTTTGCCTAATGTCTTGAGGATTCATTTGATACTAACTGTATCACAGCCTAAAAAATAAAAACTAATTATGATTGCTTGAATACAAGAAAGAGCTGTTTTGTCTAGTGTATTTTAGACTAAAGGGCTGAAATAGCTTAACTGAGATGTCTGCTAAACACGTAATCCTACATCTATTTGTTTTCAGTTGATTCAACATTTTCTTCTGAATAATTATAACATTTTTTTATTGATTTGATGTTTGTATAGTATCTCAAAGTCTAATGACTTGACAGATATATTAAAATTTACAATCTGTATTGTAGCTTCCGTCTATATGAAATATTTAAAATAAATTTAAACAGTAGCTTATGCTATCATGTGACATTAAAGAACAGTCTTTGACTGTTAAATGATTCCACTTCATGGTCAGTGTTATCAATTTGTTTTAATCTTCGTTTCGAAGATTTCGTGGTGTGTGGTAGATGGAGTAAGAACTAGTGCACCCGCCATTGTACGAGACGCCCATTGGAGACAATCCGTTGTAGAACTTCCCCATACGGAACGGTCGAAACGTTTAAATGTCGGATCAAGGAAAGGGTCAATTTATGATCTGAAGTAAGTACAGAACGCTGCGTTAATTTCTATGAGATGTTCATTTGAAGATATGGTACTCTTTAGACAAGATTATTTAACTTTTTTCTCAGAAGTACCATGGTTATACTTTTTGTATATTAACAGCGATATACTATAATGATACTAGGCTTATTTTAATTCGGGTTTCTCTTAACCGGTGCTCTTTTATTGTCGACTTATCACAAATAGTGGCTGTTAAATGTTTGACTCCGTTCCTACCGAATCGTCCAAAAAATATGCGTAAACCTAGTTTGGTGACTCAAATGTTGTCTTACATATGTAGTAAAGGGTCCAAGTATTTCTTTTCTTATCTTCATCTAATTAATTATTTATTCGAATAAGTGAACTATTAATGTAAAATAGAATACTTCATTTTATTTTGAATCTGTATAATTCTAGCTTAGAAATATCTAAATTACCAGATTTAAAGTATTAACTTTTTTGTTCGTCTTTCGTTCTGTTTATGGATTTGCATATCACACATTATATGACGAACCAATTGATCGAATAAACGAAAAATATCCATTGGGTCATAAAAACAAAGTTGTAGTTCGATGAAGAGGTTGGTTTAAGGAAAGTCTTGCAAACATATCCTCAAAGAGATCACTTAACGGAACCACATTATTGCTTCCAATTAGTTAGTTGGTCTATTTTCTTGTACATACAAAGGATTTTTGGTATGAATTTGTAAAGGTTGTTAAAGTTCATTAAAATCACATGTACATCTAAGTTAGACAATCACTGAAAACTTGGAAACATTGGACTTCCATTTAGTCCAAGAGTGGAAGTAATAATTAGTGCATACACACGACACCACACCCCGGAGCTTTGGTTTTATGCGAAAACTCTTAACCTATTAACCAATAAGCCGGAACCCAATAGTATAAAAGCCTGACTTCAATCAACCCATGGTGTTTTATCTGGGTAACGGAGTTTTAGAGATGGTGAAATAATAATAGCCTTATGTAACATCATATGTTTAATGCCTTATGAAATTCGCAGTATGTCGGCTGTAGAAACTGGCCATCTGTGTTATGGTTACTGAAAACTTTTTTCACTAGATAACATCTCTTTTATTCAAGAGGTTTTGGGTTTTAATTTTAGGTTAGTTAGTCCATCAAAACTTAATGACGTTTTATGGATTGTGTTATAATGTAAGCAAGCATCCACTGATATTGGATATTCTATTTATTAACAACTTCATTTCGTTACGCGGAGGCAACATAATACACACTCATAAAAAAACTCATATTCCTTATGGTTATATGAAACAGATGGCTCTACGGTGTTTATAATATGCATCATAGAAAAACGGTGAAAATGTCTCTTGAAATTATCAAACTAATTAGTAATATATTTATTACTTTCATTTCCTAATCTATAGCTATTTCACTCCTAAAATCCGTTATTCATCAGGTCTAGGTATTAATAAACATACTTGAGCCATTTTTTACACCCATCTTTAGATTATTATTTGTAGTGGCTTTGCTTCGTCAATCAATCACCCTTGTAACCGTTATTATATAAATTTCAACGGTGTTTGAAATCAGAAGGCAATGAGAAGCGGCAACTACAGTTTATTGGTGGATGACGCAGATCACAAAGCTATGAACAATCGAGCGAATTCGAAGCGGAGAGGTGAATAAGTATATACAGGCAATTACATAGGCAAATTTATAGTTAAATTGCATAAGGGCACACTAAGGCAAAGCAAAGGATAATAATAGGATTTGATTTCCATACATACATGGGGAGGAGGATGAATTATAGAGTGATATTTAAGCAATCAACATTTTGGCTCTAGTCTGTCATGTGATCTGATCTATAGATCATAACGATACAAAAAAATATGTTAATTGTTACTGTTCCAATAACATTACCTGTTAAGTAGGTTAATAAAAGGGCTTAACCAAAATTAACCATAGTCGAAATTGGTTGTAGGATAGTTGCTATATATTGTCGTTTGATTAAAATTCAAACAGGCTTTACAATAGCATTCGCTAAAATTTATACGGTTAATGATGGTGGTTGGAGGTGGTCAACAGGAAACCCTGGACCCGGGTTTCGTGCTACTTGGCACTCGTCAGCAAGGTGTACCTGTAATCTTGAGGGAACTGGTGCTCCCTGGCGGATTCGATCTCGTGTTACCCAGCTTCACAGTCAGATCACCACCCAGTGATCAATCATTTGTGACGGTTAATGCGTTGTGTAAAAATTGTAGGTACTATTCTATGAATTCATTTGTATTTTTTGATAGTTTTATGGTCTCAATTGTAAGCTATTGCTCCACTCACTAACTGTCGAGACAATATTTCACGTTAAATAAACTATAGGTCTGTAATTCGTTTTATGGCGAAAATGATCCAGCTGTGCACTTATTGAGATGTACGAATTGTGGTGGATTACGTTTTTGTGTTTTAGGGATATTACGTGAGTAATGAGTCTACATAGTCATAGGGTACTTGTGACTAAATATCTGGCTTTTAAGTACTTTGACTGGAAGTTTGAAATTTACCGTTTTGTGTGATCTTGTCAATTGTTTAACAAATCCTGTTATGAATTTTGTCGAATTATTATTTATGGCTTAGTTAACAACATAAAAACGCCCTGTTAAATTATGATTACTACAATGCCATCAGTGTTCATTTTATTGTTCCTCTATGGTAGAGCACTCTCTTGCAAATGGAAAATCTTAGGGAATAGAGAAGAAGAATCAGTAAAATAAATAAACAGCCTATAACCGCTTTACAATTAATTCTTGTAGTTCCTGATTTATTTTACATTTTGTTCTGAAAATGTTTACTCGCTGAAACATACACCTTTTGAAAGTTAAATTGAGTAAATAGATAAGCCCTCCACTTATGAACTTGACATATTCAAATTTCAGATTTCAGCTTAGAGACGGAATACTCGAATCGATATTGAACATGACTAAATAAAAATGATTATTGATCATATTATTGCAGATAGAAGCTGTGCTAAGTTGCACCTAGTTCATTAATGAAGTAAAACTGTTCGCAATAGTGACGATTCAATTAAGTTTTGGTTGTGAAAAATATCCTAGCGTCTTGTATGTGCAACAAACTTGACGCATCATCTTCGTCCATACTAATTTTTAATGGAAAATTTTTTCAACCTTAAGTTTACAAGTATTTTATTTATAGTGATTGGCTTCAAGAGCTTGTTTTTGAGAGCGAATGTTTTTTTCAACTACAATTTTTTCAGTGTACATTGTAAACTTTTAATCTTCACTAAGGTTTAATGGAAATATTGTTTTCGAAAATTCCTGTTAAAAAAATCAAAATTGTTTTGATATAGATTTCGGTTGAATTTGCTATGATTTGTACGTAGCTTTTGCATCTGAATTACTTATTATTTGGATTTATGATGCTTACAAATCACACGGATTATGTTTATCTTCAGTGTTCCTGTTGGTCCAGAACTACGCGATCTTATGGCAGCTTTATCCACAGCACGACAGATGCAGATGGTAAGCTAGTAGCTAATTTGTTTTAAATCAAAAATATTTTTTAGCTATCTAAACATATTATTTTGATTCAGTACTTTTAAGCCAAATAAGGCGCCATAATACAAAATAAAGAATTTTTTTGGTTCGGATCAATAACAGTGTCTAACTGGCTCAAAATATTAAAAACGTGAGATTCACACACATATTACTTTGCTTTTTTTTTTAATCGCGCAAGTACACCGAATAATCGATGAAAACGCTTACCTAACCATGAAATTTTGCTGTAATACTCTCCCACTTCTTAAAAAATATCCTAAGTGATTCTCATAACCTTTTTTTTATTTACTAAACGGAACATAACTATAAGCTCCTTGTAGTATTACTTACGCCTGTTACTCCTAATGGAGCATAGGCCGCCAACCAGCATTTCTCAATCCACTCTGTCCTGAAACTTCCTTTCTAATTCCATCCAATTCTTGTTCATTTTTCTCATGTCTATCTCCATTTCTCGGCGTAATGTGTTCTTTAGTCTTCCCTTCCTCTTTTAACCTTGGGGATTCCATGTGAGGGCTTGTCTTGTGACGCAGTTAGGTGCTTTTCTCAATGTGTGTCCTATCCACTCCCAGTGCTTCTTCCTGGTTTCTTCCTCCGCTGAGATCTGATTTCTTCTCTCCCACAGTAGGTTGTTGCTGATGGTGTCTGGCCAACGGATCCGAAGTATTTTGCGTAGACATCGGTTAATAAACACTTGTACCTTCGGAATGATGGCTTTCGTAGTTCTCCAGGTTTCCGACCCATACAGTAGAACTGTCTTGACATTTGTATTGAAAATTCTGACCTTGGTGTTGGTTGACAGTTGTTTTGAGTTCCAGATGTTCTTCAGTTGTATATATGCTGCTCTTGCTTTGCCGATCCGAGCCTTCACATTTGCATCACATCCACCATGTTCATCAATGATGCTGCCCAAATATGTAAATGTTTTTACATCTTCCAAATCTTCTCCATCAATTGTGACTGGATTGGTGCATGCTGTGTTGTATCGGAAAATCTTGTTTTGCCCTTCGTGTATATTGAGACGTACTGCTGCTGAGGCTGCTGCCACACTGGTCGTCTTCTCCTGCATTTGTTGTTGCGTTTGGGATAGGAGGGCCAGATCATCTGCGAAGTCTAGATCGTCCAACTGCATCCTAAATGTCCACTGTGTCCCGTGTTTCCCTTCAGATGTTGACGTCTTCATGATCCAGTTGATCACCAGGAGAGTGAGAGTAGGCAACCTTGCGTGACACCGGTTTTTACGTCGGAATAGTCTGTCAGCTGTCCTTCTTGCACGACTTTGCAGTTTAATCAATCATAGGAATTCCGTATGATATTGACTATCTTCTGAGGCACGCCAGCTCCACTGAACCCACCCACGGACCTTCCAACCAATGTTGGCCCACCAACAATTGAAGAAATCAGCATGGCTCTCAGACAAATCAAGAGTGACAAAGCAGCAGGACCAGACAACATTCCAGCAGAGGCATTGAAAGCAGACGTAGCGGCAACTGCAAGGATACTCCACATTCTCTTCAATAAGATTCGTGATGAGGAACAAGTACCAACAGACTGGAAAGAAGGACATCTGGTCAAAATACCAAAGAAAAGCGATCTCAGCAACTATGATAACTACAGGGGCATTACTCTTCTCTCAATACCGGGAAAAGTCTTCAACAGAGTATTGTTAAACAGGATGAAGGACTGCATAGACGCCCAACTTCGTGACCAACAGGCAAGATTCCGTAAGGATAGATCGTGCACAGACCAAATCGCAACTCTACGGATCATTGTGGAACAATCAATGGAATGGAATTAATCACTCTACATCAAATTCATTGACGACGAAAAAGCATTTGATAGCGTGGACAGGATAGCACAATGGAACCTTCTTTGACTCTAAGGCGTGCCTCAGAAGATAGTCAATATCATACGGAATTCCTATGATTGATTAAACTGCAAAGTCGTGCAAGAAGGACAGCTGACAGACTATTCCGACGTAAAAACCGGTGTCACGCAAGGTTGCCTACTCTCACTCTCCTGGTGATCAACTGGATCATGAAGACGTCAACATCTGAAGGGAAACACGGGACACAGTGGACATTTAGGATGCAGTTGGACGATCTAGACTTCGCAGATGATCTGGCCCTCCTATCCCAAACGCAACAACAAATGCAGGAGAAGACGACCAGTGTGGCAGCAGCCTCAGCAGCAGTACGTCTCAATATACACGAAGGGCAAAACAAGATTTTCCGATACAACACAGCATGCACCAATCCAGTCACAATTGATGGAGAAGATTTGGAAGATGTAAAAACATTTACATATTTGGGCAGCATCATTGATGAACATGGTGGATGTGATGCAAATGTGAAGGCTCGGATCGGCAAAGCAAGAGCAGCATATATACAACTGAAGAACATCTGGAACTCAAAACAACTGTCAACCAACACCAAGGTCAGAATTTTCAATACAAATGTCAAGACAGTTCTACTGTATGGGTCGGAAACCTGGAGAACTACGAAAGCCATCATTCCGAAGGTACAAGTGTTTATTAACCGATGTCTACGCAAAATACTTCGGATCCGTTGGCCAGACACCATCAGCAACAACCTACTGTGGGAGAGAAGAAATCAGATCTCAGCGGAGGAAGAAACCAGGAAGAAGCACTGGAAGTGGATAGGACACACATTGAGAAAAGCACCTAACTGCGTCACAAGACAAGCCCTCACATGGAATCCCCAAGGTTAAAAGAGGAAGGGAAGACTAAAGAACACATTACGCCGAGAAATGGAGATAGACATGAGAAAAATGAACAAGAATTGGATGGAATTAGAAAGGAAGTTTCAGGACAGAGTGGATTGAGAAATGCTGGTTGGCGGCCTATGCTCCATTAAGAGTAACAGGCGTAAGTATGTATTTAATACATATTCACTGTTCAACAGCATATCACTTTATTTTAGTGACTTTAATCTAGTAATTGAATACAGTATTATAATTATTGTTAAGCGTGAATATTTGAATCAAATGTAGATAGGTAACATAAATTAGATTGACTTTACAATAGGGCTGCAATCTAAATTGTGTTTGCGTACAGGACATTTGAAATATGCCAATTAACACGTGAAGCTGTAATTGATCTTGTCAGGAATGCTGACTATAAATGATATACATTCAAGTTGTTGTGATACTTTATGACTTTTAGAGATCATATTCAAAACATGCGTAGCCGAATATTTTTGAGTAACTTTGTATTTTACTGATCTTAGACAACAGGGAATCAAGTAAATGTTAGGTTAACGATAAATGCAGTCAAAACAATAAACTTGTCATTAAATAATGGATATTAAAATCAAATAATCAAATAATATAGAAGTAAGTAAATTTTTGCAGTAATTTATCTGTCACTTTCTACCAGTTTGCAGAATCTACATTTATCACTTCTTAAGGAATTAAAAATTCAGCGGCTAATAGTTTAGACCCTCTAGAAAGTTATGTGAAATAAGAACCCTTTCAATACTTAAATCGATCACATAAAATATGTAACAGACTTTCGGGAAATATTCGGCTTTTGTAGCATACCAGTGTTAAAGTATGTATCACTTTTTACGAGGATTGTTCTCTAGATTTGCATGACATCAACCTCAACTCACACTACACTTTGAATACATTAAATTATGAAAATATTTGTACTCGATTGCCTCATCAAACAGCCAATGGTCAAATCTTGTGCAATAAATATTTTGATTTATTGTGAATGATGTCTTATAATAACGAATAGTTACGTCCATATGATAAATTTCATATATATATATATATATATATATATATATATATATATATATATATATATATATATATATATATATATATATATATATATATATATATATATATATATATATAAAGCGCTTAAGTAACGATTAAGTCTACCTAGATAATGTAGCTTTGCCACGAATTTTACCAACATATTTCATGTTATTACTGAACTATTGTAAATAATTAATTCGGTTAATCGGATACGAATTAAAACCCAAAGTATTTCTTTGATTGCATCACTCTCTGTTAATTTACCTAGAGAAAAGCTTCTAATCGAAAAGACTGAGAAGTGTTGAGTAAGGTTACAATCGGTTTTGTTTAAATAATTCTACAAATAGTCGTGTAGTTCTTATAGGTAGAAAATGGGAATATTATCTAGTCCAACGCTTTATAACACAGATCTCTGAATGAAAATCTGAATTTAGGATTCATTTTAGTAAATAGTCAACAACGCTATACATGTTCACCTATATTTACACTACATTTAATTACTTCCTCAAAAATATAGTTTTGCAACTAACTTTTAATATATTTGTTCATTAATTAAGTCAAGTACAAACTCACCAGCTCCTTCAAAGTCTACTTATCCTAATGAAAGTGACAGTCCATATGGTGTATCAGATGATCATAGACATTCGTTTCCTCACACCACAACTACTAATGTTTTTCGTGAACCCATAAAAGAAGAGGATGAAGAACTAGAAGATGAACCGTCTGGAAAAGATTTGAAAGAGAATAAAGTAAACGATGAAACTAACGGTAAGAAAAGCTTCAATCTGTTTAACTAGTCGTAACTGAGTTCTCATTCATAATGTTCGCAGTTTATGTTAGTTTCCTCATAAATTGAAAGGACTGTGTAGTAACACTTGGCTATTTTCTTTTCCTGACCAGGGCTTTGACTTTTATAATTTAGTTTATCTCTTCACATTTGAAATTAATGTATTAAGTAATGAATTAAGTTTATCTCACTTGAAATGTTTGTTTTCATATGATGCTTAAAGCCAGTTGTAAAAAGGTGTGCTTCTTCATTCATGGTTCAATCACAGTTGAACAACCTATCAATCGCTGATAAATCTTGAGTCAATACTGAATGGAAAAGAACTTTTGGCCTTTAATAACAAATAATTTGAGGTTTCAATTTCTTTTGAGAGGAAAAGGTGTAATTAGTTCGTAGTAAATTCTGTACCACGTACTGAAATGTGTAACATACTGTCGATGAGTCGTTTAGTTTGTCAGTAATGGGCTTTACATGATATTTTGCGAAATGATATCACTGTTTCCAATGAATGTGTGTAAGTGAAATCTGTTCTTATTTTTATCTCTTGCATTATATTAGCTAACTTTCATGCTTCTTAAGCACAAAATACGTACTATTCTCCTTTAAGATTAAGGTTTACATACTGATAAAAATCTCCCGTCTTTGATGTCGTTCCAGCTGCCTGATCTATATATATTCTCAGTTAAACAACACAATTTTTCTAGTTTTTCTTCAAGCAACTATAAATTTATGAGTACATGGTTAAGTGTATACATCGGAGACTATATTTAATTTTCAGATTCATATGGAAATATCGAGAAATAAAAATAAGATTCGTTCGCTTATTCACCTAACAATACCGAAACTTTCAATAGGTACTGTCGTAAAGTCTATTTTTAAAACAAAACGTAAAACGTTTTCGTCATGGACTAGCATCAGCTAGACAGCGCTTTTGTATTGATATCTATTACGTATTGACAAACTTTGAGATGGAATTTCGACGTTCTAGTGAGAAGCCAAATTTTTTTAGATATGAAAAACTTTTCCCCGAATTTTGTCGAAGGAATGTCGCACTTTAATGAAAACTGACTAAAGATGGAAACGGTAACCACCGGATTCCGACTCAATCGTTTAAATTATTATGCTTTCCGCTAGAACTTGAGACGAGGATTTGGGACTGCTCAGTAGTTAGAAACTAGGACAACGTCATCCATTGTTCCATGATTCCCTAACTGATGTCACTAATTGATAAAAACTATCTTTGGTTTGATTGAATTTCGTCGGCTACCTTTTATTGTTCCCAAATGCCCTGATATAGCCGAGAATGGGGTGGGCCCTCCCTCCCTCTCGAAGTGCTCTCACACGGCCACGCGTATACAGCCTCTTCCAGGGGAGTCCTACTCACTGCCTTTTCGTGGCCTGGGTGTTGTTTACGAAAATGAGAGGACGGAAAGTGAATGTCCGACACTTTAACTGGATTCCAAACCAATGGTGCACATGGGCTCCAGTATCCTGAGGGAACAAATGGCCTATGAACCAAATGTTGGTCATCGGCTACCACGGAACTGCATCTCTTTACGATGCTCCACTGCCTTGTGGGTTAGACCTTTAGGTTAAATGCTCGGGGTGTGGCCCCGCAGGAAAACCACCTGGTTCGATCTGGGCACCTGAACTGAACTAACTGTTTCTTATTGTTGGTAAATTGCTGAAACTTACATAGGCATGAAGTTTTCGAAATTTTCATAGTTAGATATGCCAGTTTTGTGATTGTCGTTGGTAAATTTGGAGGGAAATCAGTTTAGAAAATATTTAGAACAGTGATGATAGTATTTCTTTATTATAGTAAAGTGTAAATTGGTAGGCAATCATGCATCATACAATTGAAGTTTTGTCAGTGTGTGCAAACCATTTGATCTATGGCATTTCAGAGGAAACGATATTATGATTATCAACACCAACAACAGATTTACTGTTGTTTATTGTTGTAACGTATTCTCTTTTCTAAATCAAAATTTGGCCGTATTAAAGTTTTTTCAGGGAATAATCATCGCGGATTAATGAAGAAATATCTATACTTTTTAAGTTAGTGATGATTTTTCTTATTTCTGTCAGTGCGTGAAACCATTTTCGGTAGATTGTATTATTAAACTGATCAAATGGTGCATCAGACTGAATGGTTTTGGAACAGTTAAATATTTCAGCCTAGTCGCTCAACAAACGGATACAAAATTGAGTGCTATATGCAAAATATGGTTAGAATTTGTATCATTATTCGAAAAATATATTCTGAAAAGTTTGCATATCAATTATTTCGTAGTATACTCATTAAAAAAATAAAAATAATCCAGATTATAATCATGCAACACTGTTTCTAATGTATCAATGAATGCTTTCCATGTTATTCTATTTATTTTACTGCTCGTATTTTTCTCATTAGATTTATCAGGTAGTCATACGCATGATCACTGTTCAAGGCTCTAATTATTATCTGTTCATGGAGTATTAATATTTTGTTTATTTGTCGGTTTAGTAGATTGCAAGGTGGTGATGAATACACTTCAAAACGTTTGCAAAAAATGATGCCTAATATATTTATTTGTTATTATTATTTGTTTTACTTCAACTGCTTTGATGATATCTGCCTATATTCAGCTTAAATTTATTTTTCATTAACTTTTTGCCCTTGAAAGTTTTGTTTAACTCTTTCTTTAGTTAAAATCATGATTTATTTTGACTGAGATTATATTTTAAACATCTATCTGTTCTCTATTTGTCTTTCATGAATTGTATTTTGCTTAACAAACTCAATCTTATAGTTTATAATATTTTTGTACTTAGCTTTATGAATATTGAGATAATAGGAAATTTAAATTTTTCACTTAGGACCATGATGAAAGCTATTTACGACGATGGAGTGAATTATGTTGTTGGAAAAGATGGCTGACCAAGCATTTAGTCTGAATTTAGCACTTTATATTTCCTGGCTTAAAAAAAGGGGTAGTGACAGAAAAGTTTTCTGAACATATTTCTTATTCATACTATGTGTGGGAAATGACTGTTTGTTCAGTAAAATGTATACGTCAGGCACATACGAGTACTGAAGTAGCCCAGAGAACATTATAGAAATAAAATAGGTCGAAAACTCTCTTACAATTACAGAAATGATTTTAAAAGACTGTTTACTGTCTATTGTTATGTAGGCCGAAAACAAGAAATATAAAAATATTGTTAATTAGAAACGGAAATGTAAAACGTTGGTCAATTAGTATCATTGTTCAAACTTGAAAATCATTACATTCAACTGTAGCTAATACAGTCCATAAACACAGGGAAAGACTGTGAACAGCAATTTGACTTATCGTACAGTTTAAATACTTCGCTATTATTTGAACTACCTTAATACAGTACACAATTCACCTGATTTAGAACCACAGAGTGTTTTATCTTCAAATTCGTGTTCCAAATGGATTTAACTATTGCTATAAATCCCAAATGTAGTTCGTATTCGGAGTCACTGCAGTCGTAGACCTAAGAGACCATGGAAAGTCGCTTCTAAATGCGTTTTTGCGTGAAACTAAAATCTATTTAAAATGCTTTATCATCTAGTTTTCGTTCAGAGATTTGAAAGGCAGTGAGATTTTTGTGTATTTTCTTACTGCAGTTCGAAGACGGAAATAAAGCTTGTTGGTGAATTTAATTTCGTAGATCTTTTTCATAGCAATAAATTGGAGCTAATACTTCCATATAGCACCGAGTGAAGTCCGTCTATGGTTACTGACAGTCCTATATCCAAGTAATGTAGGAGGATTAGCCACAAGATCAACATCTTTACCGCGTAAAAAACGACCCTATTAAGTAAACTCTAACCGTAAACATCATTTAAATCATTTGCACTCTGTAATGGTAAATAGACGGTTTTCATATACAGGAGTTATATTACATCATGGGGGAACCAGGGATTCTTCGAAACACACAAGACGGATTTAAGGCATTTGTAGTAATCGATTATTCTCCTGTTCATTATTCAGCGGCTGGTTCGAATCACAAACGCTTTACCTTCGTCTGTGCTCACAGAGTCCTCTCTGACTTGAGTACTGGTCCATACGTGGCTACTGAAGTACGAATTGAACGGTCCTTGGTATTACTAATTAGCACACAAACTTCTATTGCTCCAAAATATATTGGTGTCGCGTTGGAGCCTGTGGTCAGATAGTTGGAGTGTATGGAAGGTTTCAAAATCTGGAGTATGATAACGAAAAATCTTAAAAATGGTAAAATTGTGTCTCATTTACTTACATTTATCGAAAAGAAAGCCTAAAGCTGAATAAAAAATTGGTATTTCCAAAAGGACATATTTCACTCCCTATTTAAGCTCTCAAAGAGCCACTACTGAGTTGTTTAAATTGAATTAACTTTGGATGCTGTGAAAAAGTGAAATTGCACAAAATGATTCATCAGGAACACTAGAGAGTTAGGTATTTTATTATAAATCGCAGAAACAGCAAGTCTTTAATTTATGAACGAACCAACGGAATTAATGGCAGCAAGTCTGAGATTTTGGCGCTAAATTCATTCGTTCATGTAGACAAATAGCATTTTGGCATTACAGATTGTCGCATTATTTCTACTAGTTCAAAAACACTTTTAACATTGGTACGTAGGCAGCTTGTTTCAAAATCACTAGCATATCTCATAGGTTGTCCGTAAATTATGGTCTCACCACAGAAGCAAACGGCTAAATGCATATTTGATGGTCAACTTCATGTCTAACTCTAATTCTGATGCTTTACGTGAAGGTTTGTTAGCTGCATGTGTCAACTGCAGTATACAGGTGAGAGTCCTGCATATATAACATCATGCATAGGGTGATCCACTCGTTCCTAAAGACAAATAGTCCTTTAGTTTCCAAGAAGCAGTGTGTAAATCACAGGATAGCTTGTGTGAAAAAAAGAATTGCTGAGTCGATTCAGTGTACAGCTCGAGGAAGTGTAGTATCAAAATTCATTGATTGCACATTTATACATAATTCCATGGCTAATTCAATTGGCAAAGATAAGACATCCGTTTGCACTTATTGAGTTCTGACTGTCTTTAATTAGACTATTATGAGAGTTCTTAGTTTTCACATTAATTTGTCTATTTCTAATCACCAAAGGTACTGTTATTCTTAAGCCTTTGAAGTCTGATGGCAAAACCCCTAGGATATGTAGTGGTTAAAGATCAACATCTGATTTTCGTTTGTTGAGGAGAGCATAAACCACGGTATTTGCTGAGGACATTCCCAGTTGACTTCATGATTCTAATGTATTCTCAAAAGTTGGTGTAATTTATACTCATCATCAGGTTCTCTCAGATAAATCCCCATCTATTTTGATGACTAACACTATCGCCTTTGAGATGGTTGAAAAGATTTGTAGCTCTGGTGAATAATTTTGGTGGAGTTTTGTTCTCTGAGCTGGATGGTTTGGTCGTGGAGCTTTCATCGTTCTTCTGAACGACATCATCAGCACAAACTTCAGATAGAAGTGAAGTGTTCGAATTTCTCCATATGTGTTTCACAGCTTGTTCTGTGCGCCTCGATGTTGATTGGTTCTTGTTGACCTTAAATTTATCATTGTTTACTTCTTTGTTTTGGTTGTGTCTCCGATTGGTTTGATTTTTGTTCCTATATTTATGCATGATTTTCGTGATTGGTTGATAAATTGGATTGATTTCAATATGTTTGTTGATTGCTGATTGACCTGAGTGCCAGGCTGCTAAAAATTCTCTGGTGTTTTTGGAGTTTCCTCTGTCTAAAGTTTCTACATTTTCCCAATCGAATGAGTGTCCGTAGTTATCCACGTGTATTGATATAAGTGAAGAGATATCATGGCGTTTGACTGCTAATTGATGTTCATGTAGGCGTAGGTGGAGGGGACGTCCGCTTAGTCCGATGTAGTGTTTGTCGCAGTTGGTACAATTTATTTTGTAGATGATGTTTGGTTTGTTTTCCTCTGTTATTTCATCCTTTGGTTTGCATAGGATTTATTGTAGTGATTTTGTTGGTTTGTGTGCCACACCTGTCCCGAAGGTTTTCATCAGTCTTGTTGCGGTTTCTGATATTCCTTGTATGTATGGTAGAGTGATCCTTTTGTTGATTTTTGTGCTTGACTTGGGTTCTGATGCTGTGCGCCGTTGGTGCTTTTTGATGAAGTTGATTGAGTAGCCGTTCTTTTGGAATATGTCCTTCAGGTGTTTCTCTTCATTTTTTCATGCTGCCAGTGCGCTGCAGTGTGTTGTCGCCTTCTTGAACAATGTGTGTACGCAGTTGATTTTGTGAGCTCTTGTGTTGTTGATGTTGTAGTTGAGAATTTGATCTGTATGGGTCGGTTTTCTATATACTTGAGTTTCCAGTTTTCCTGTGTCAGTTCTAGTGACCAATATATCCAAGAATTCTAGTTGGTTGTTTGACTCCAGTTCCATTGTGAACTTGATGTCAGTCTGTATGTGTTTTCCAGTTCATTCTTTTCGACGACAACGAAGACGTCGTTTAGGTATCGAATCCAAATTTTGGCTTGATCACTGGTGATAACGTGGCTTCTAGTCTTTGCATCACTGCCTCTGCGAGCAGTCCTGATATTGGTGATTCCATGGGTGTCCCTTTTGTTTGTTTGTAGATTTTGTTGTTGAATTGAAAATATGTTGTTAGGCATAAATCGATGAGTTCCAGTAGACTTTGAATTTGAAGCTTCGTGTATTGGTGAGATTTGTGTCGTTCTTGAGTAGCAAGGATATAGTTTCTTTTGCTAACTGTGGTTCAATTGAGGTGAACAGTGCTGTTACGCCGAAGGATATCATGAGTTCGTCGTTGTTGATTTGAATATCCTTAATTTGGTCCAGGAATTGTGTTGGGGATTTGATGGAGTGTTTGGTTTAATCTACTACACGTCTCAGTATTCGTGAAATTTCTTTTGACAAATTGAACGTTGGCGTTCCGGGGAGTGCTACTATTGGACCTAGTGAAATGTTTGGTTTGTGTATTTTGGGTCTGCCGTAGAATCGAGGGATTACTGGCTCACTGGATTTCATTCTCCATTGGTCTTGTTTTGTTATTTCTCCTGCTTTGACTAGCTTGTTTAAAGTCTTTGAGATTTGGTTGTCTAATTTTTTGACGGGATTTGTGTCCATCAGTTTGTATGTGCTCTTATCTTCGAGTAGTTCTTCGACTTTGTTGACGTATTCTTCTTTGTCCATGATTACTGTGGTGCGTTCTTAGTCCACTGTTAATATGACACAGGATGAAATAACAAAGGAAAACAAACCAAACATCATCTACAAAATAAATTGTACCAACTGCGACAAACACTACATCGGACTAAGCGGACGTCCCCTCCACCTACGCCTACATGAACATCAATTAGCAGTCAAACGCCATGATATCTCTTCACTTATATCAATACACGTGGATAACTACGGACACTCATTCGATTGGGAAAATGTAG